AAGGTGGAGGTGATTTCGCTGGTCTTTCTTTTTTTCGAGGTATATGAGTACGACTGTTGGAATGAAACAAGGGCGACTGAACGCTGTACTTGCCATATGACTGCATCCCTGCCTGATGGCATGGCAGTGGATATCAGCACCCCACAATTAGCTTCATGAAAAGAAGGGCACCAAAATTTTCCCGCCAAGAAAGACTGACATTCGAATGGTTACAAAGTTTTCTTTCCCTGATCCGGTCGAATCTGATAAAGGCGGATTACTTTGCAAGAACGAAAGGGGGGGTTCCATATGCCAATGTATATTTGTAAATGAAACATTATTTAATGGAGGCATACAAACTGGCGTCAACATTTCATGAAAAGCAGTTTCAGTCATGCAAGTTTAATGGAAGCCGACATTCCGACGGTTACAAACATTGTCTTCGTTATTTGCTCTGGATTAGCTTTCCGATGGTCTGTTTACAGTCACTGTCTTAACGAAAAGTTTTCCCTATATCATGGAAAAGTTTCAAGCAACTGCATGTGGGGAACGTAGACAATCACGCCAGTTAATGTTTAACATAGATTTCTTTGTTCGTAGCACGCTGCTAATCAGCCTGTCTGAATTTTGGAAAGCCATTACGACTTAGACAAATTGATGTCGGTTTTACCTTTTTTAGGCACCGTCTCGCTTCGAACCTCCATATAGTGTAGTTCAGCTTTGGCAGATACCAAATTCACTACTTATACCTCAAAATCGCGCTGAGTGATAAAAGTTTACATCCTTGTTTACTCCGTTCTATGAATTCGAACATAGATACATGGTGGGGATTTCATCCTCGCATCGAAGTTTGATTTAATCGTCAAAGGGAGGCTGTGGAAGTCATTCGCTACTATAGGCTAGGATGGTGCGCTGCGCTAAGTAAAACCGGAGAAGTGACGGGAAAAGATTATGGTATTGATATAGCTTTTAATCCTTAAGGCCACGCTGTCTGACGTTCGCGCTTTACAACTGCCAGTTGTCTGGACAGATCTAAATCAGCACAAGGTGAAACATTAAAAAGATGGTATGAGTCTTCAAAACACCTCATAGCAGTTAAACACAATCTTCTGAGAATCAAAACTATGAAAGGCATCAAGGATAGCAATGTTAGTCATATTTCAGATCCATCCTTAGCCACTATATTTTTCAGTTAAGCGCAACTTAATTAATACTTTACATATTGTGTGATTTCTCACGGTTTACCGATGGATATTGTGAGAGTTTTAAAATGAAATGTAATGAAGAATAGTCAGTTCTGTAGTTTCTCTTGCAATGCATCACGCAAGGGAGACGAGGAAAGCTTCATTCATTAATAGGTCGAGAACAGCTTCTGTTGATTATTCCGTTTAGGGCAGT